GGTTGGGGGGGGGGATGTGTGGGACGGTCGGCGGGGCGTCTCGTGTGCATGCATGTGAGTGTATATGCAGCTTCAGGCTCTGCCAGTGTGGCCTACAGCTCTGGAGACAAGTGCGGGCCCACTGTTATTGCGCAAACACCTCTGTGAGCAGCAAGGTTGAAGCAGCCGTGTTCTGCAGGGTTTGCACAGCCCGAGAGCCAGCGGTCTCACCGCAGGTGCTGAGGGGCAGGACGCCCCCCGATGGTGGGGCCGCACAGGCGGGTTATTGCCAAAGCCCACGACGTAGGAGCGGCCTGCAGGGCGCGGCAGACGGCGTGGTCGCGTGAGCGTGCCAGCGCCGTGATTTTTTTGCACGCAGCCATATCAGCCATGCAGGGCTGACCCGCAGGCACTCAGCACACGCAGCCGCCACAACAGTCGAGCCCGGTGCCCGCTCTGAGCCAGCAGCAAAGGTGCCGGCACACCCCTGGGCAACCACCTATTTCCACCACTACTAGCGGGGGGATGCAGTGCAGTTTTGAGCCGAGGTCTAGCAGACGCGGCACCAAGCGTGCAGCCCCCAGTGTCCACCCAGCCCTGGTCCCTCACCTCCCTCCCCCAGCGCGTAGCTGATCTGGCCGTGGGCCCAGCACACCAGCCTGTCGCGTTCCCCCTTGTTGCCCTCGCTCTTGGCCCCCCACAGCACCAGCGCCGCGGCGTTGCCCATGTGGCGCAGGTTGCCCCAGCCCAGGTCCTTGATGTACCACGCATAGCTGAGGGGTGGGGTGGGGGTTCAGGGTGAGTTGGGGGTTGGGGATGGACAATATGGGTGATCCTGTGGTGATCAATGCAGCAGGTGCTGCCCGGGGATCAAGCAGAACCATGGGCCACAAAGCTGCTGGGGCCGGCGACTAGGAGCCGCTCTCGACATTGGGGCGAGAAAGCCCCCCCCCCCCTCTGCGGCCTGGCAGCCACATGGGCACGAGGTTGCAATATGCCTTTGAGCGGCCGGGGCACAAATCAAGGCATGTAGAGCATATGGGGGGAATTGGGTTCCATCAACCGTGCTGTGCTCACCCCTTGGGGCTGGTGACGACGTGCTCGTTGCCCTTCTGGCTGGTCCAAGCCTGGCCACAAGGGGGGGCGGGAAGGAGGGGAGGAGGTGGATCAACCACCACCTGAAGGGGGCCCAGGTGAGCACGCACGTTTTCGCTGCCAGTTCGGACAGTCGGCCGCAGAGGAACCGCGTGCCACCCCCCCCCCCCTTCAGTCAGGTGCGCACCTCCTTGAAGCCGTTCCAGTGGTCGCGGAACTGCTGATCGCCCGTCTCCAGCAGCAGCATCAGGGCCACACCCGGGGAGTAGGAGTCCCAGAAAAAGCCTTGAGATTGGTGGAGTGACAAGCCAATGGTGATGGGGTGAGCTCGCGTGGTACTTGTGTGATTGTAACTGGTGTGCTGGTTGTGGTGTGGGTCAGGGCGCTGCAAAAGGCTGCTGCAGGACGCTCGTCCACAACTTAGGCCCTGGATGGGTGGCGCGGTGCTTCACATGACTGTCAAGACTGGGCTAACGTTAGTGCCCATCGCGGGGCTCCTCCCAGCAGTTCGAGGACGCCTCTCACCGTACTTGCGCGATGACCAGACATTGAAGTTGTCATTGGCCTTGTGGGCTGCATAGTGCCTGGCAACAAGGGGGACCCCAAAGGGCAATGGGTGGGGACCGGCAGGTCAATGGGGCACAAACAGGCGGGGAGGTAGGGAAGGGGTTGTTGTCAAGGGCGGCAACCCCCAGCCGACCTGTTGCGGGCCCTTGTAACCATCCCGGGGGTTGCTTCGAACAAACAAATTACGTTGACCTTCAGAGACCAGCTCTGCTATCTGGTGTCCACGCGACGCGCGCGTGCGTGCGCGTGCACCCACACACACATACACACACGCACGCACGCACGCACACGCGTATGCTCACACGCGCG